TGGTTTTGGTTTGGGGATTCCGCTGCCAGCTGCAATATGATAAATTCGAGGGCAGCTGGTTCGCTCGGAGACTGAAGACGACAGAAGGATTGAGTTCGTCATCGTCGCCGTGGGCAAATTGGGCATTGAAATTGACGAAAATACCGTCGGTGTGGCGGCGATCGTTGGCAGAAATGGACGGGAGGAGCTGGCAGGAGAAAACGTCTAAGCTGTACGACCGCGGTAAAGAAGAGGATGGTGCCTTGGGGACCTGTTTCCTTTGTGTGTTTGAAGCTCAGATTACTTTGCTGACTGCTGGTGCTGGTTGATTTTGATATTATTGTACTGATAAAGGATATGGTCATATGGATACTTGGATAGAGAAAACATAGTTGTCAAGAACAATGGTGTCGTGTGTGGGGTGACGCGGAAGAGCTGAATCGCTCTGGGCAGAGGAAAATGAAAGAGTGTTTTTGTCTCCAAGAATTCGGATGGTTGGGTATAGAATTAGGGTTTTCGGTTGGGTTATTAGTTCAATTGGGTTTGTCATTAATTTTTTTATTAATATCTTAATTGATTTAGCATGTTGACTGGACAAAAGTAATGGTATTTTGGATGAAGATGGACCGAATTAATTTTTTGTTATTAGTCCCAACATATGATATTGAAACGTGCAAAATTAAAGGTTTCTGACCATTTTGTACAAAGTGTAAAGGTTTGTGAACATATATGCTAATTAACCGCTAAAGTTAATATATCTTTGGATTTAGTCCTACTTCTTTCTTTGGTCTGTTCCAACTTCTAGAGGTGGGCAATGGGTAGGTCGGGCGGATTTTGATCATAAACGGATTGGTAATTTTTAACCCACCACCCACCCACATTTAGTCCCGGGTTGGGTCGGGCGGATGGTGGATGATGCGGGTGGATTTGCGGTTTCACCCACATCACAATGTACATAATATAAAGGAGTCAAATTGACATGAGAATCGGTGGAGAGTGTTATCGGGTGGAAACAAGAAGATGGAATAAGGGGGAAATGTTGTATTAGTTCTGAAATTGGATAGAAAGTCTATTATGGAGTAGTTTTCTACGGATGAAGATGATTATCAAGTACAAGGAACTAAGGAAAATAATTTAAAGGAGGAAAGAGAGGTGATCTAGGCACAAGAATTAGAGGAAATATAAAGGGAAGAAGAGAGGATCGCTATTTGGAAAATTGACTTGAGGATCAATCTCTAGGAGCGCCCTAGTTTCTGTCTAATGTCTCCACTCTTCCTCTCCAGCGCCAACGACTTTGTTCTTTTTGCTGTTACCCGCCCACAACCCATCGGCCACATGACAGATGGCTCTTAGTACAACCCGTCACCCACCCACATAATAAAATTTGTGTCAAATGCGAGTGGGTCAGCCCAACTCGGAGGTTATCCGCCCGCATCCCAGCCCTACCAACTTCTCCAACAAAAATTGGAACCAAGTTGTGGTCGAGAGTGTTCGTGAAACTGGTCTGGTTGATGAAGTAACTGAGTTCTTCGGGCAGATATGATTTAGTGGCTTTTTGGTCCACACGATTTGCTTCTTCGACCGAATTTTGCTTTAGAAACGCCAAGTTTCAAGCCTCCTGTAAATAGTAGGTTAGCAACACGTCTGGGTTGGTCTTGTGTGTTGGACGAAATCAGTGATTGCACAATCAGCGTTGCTAAAAATGGAAAATGAAAAGAAAAGGAAGGTATTAGCTCATCAGAAATTCGATTTCGAATTTCCTTCCTTATGAGGAAGTGCAGCAACGGTCAAAAGCTATACATATATATGGGTCACACTCGTAATCTCGTATGCTTCTGGCTCATAGTATGTTCCGGATTTTTTGCACCGTTGATCTAATCTAATGATCATTATTAATTCTAATAAAATTATTTATTTATTTGTAATTACAATTCCTGTTTGAACCTGTTAACATTTTATACATACACAATAGTCCCCAAAAAAGTTTTGTCATTACTTTTTATAGTAAATCACACGAGTTATTTCAATTATAGTTTTCAACCCCAAATTTTTATTTTTGAAATTTTATTTATCCATGCAATTCGTTTGTCATGACTCTTCTTCCCCACCATCTCCTCCTGCATCTGAAGTTTCTCAGTTTTGTTTTTGAACTCTGGCGAGGATAATTCCGCTGACGAGAGACACGAGCTCCAGCCTCTGTCATTGTTAATTTCCAAAGCTTATTCGTCGTCGTACACCATCAACTAATTCCGATTCGTCAGCAAAAGGGTAGCAGTCTGGTACACGCTTATCCAATCACCGAATCTCTTCTCCGGTAACCCCACATTTGACATTACCATCCTAGTCGTTGTCGTTACCACCGTAATCCCGACACTGTCTCTCTTCTCCCGCGACCCTAAATCACCATCCCAATCGCAGACGTCACTGTAATCGCACCACCGTCTCTGGCAACCCCACGTTCCGTAGAGACCGACATCCAAGCGAAATCCAAGCGAAATCCCCTTCCTCCTTGCAAGCTTCAGAACAATCGACGGATCAATCCTCTTCCCTTTCCAGTCAAACACATTAAACCCCACCGCCGCCACGATTGAATTCTACCCTAGGCTCGTAATTAAATCCTTACCAACTGAACCCCCTCTCCGCCGGAGCTCGGGTGTCGTAGCTGCAGCCGCAACAGCAAATTCACCAGCAGCCCCTGCTTTGCATTGATGGAGATCAGCTCTAACTCATGCGCGTCCCCCGGAATTCCAAAATCCAAGCGGGGCATTCAATCAGCATGTGTTTATCGGCATATTTGAGAATCAAGCTGTAATGGGTTTAATTAAAGGTAGGTAGTAATTGGGGTTTCTTTGATGATGACGATGACCTTTGATGGATGATGAGAATGAAGTTTTGATTCATAAACCATTCTAGCCGAATTTTAATGGAGAATTTGTTTTTATCAATTGTATAAATTTTGGGGTTGAATAAAAGAACTCTACAAAATAAGGTATCATACGAGCAAACATGATGATAATTATTGTTTGGGAACTTCATAGCACGTATAATTATTTGAAGGGGGTATTTTGTAATCATAATTATTATTAAATATATAATTTTTATATAATTAATATTAGCTGTTAGATTATATCAACGATCTGAAAACTTGGAGCATGCTATGTGTCAGGAGCATACGAGTCGTATCCATATATATATATATATATATATATATATATATATATATATATAGCTTTTGGCCGTTGCTGCACTTCTTCGTTAGGAAGGAAATTAGAAATCGTGAGTGGTAGAGGGCTTGGGTTTACAAAGTGGTTAACGAGCTTAGAGGTAGAGGTTTTAAGTCGTTAAAGGTTGTAACAGATCTGGGTTTGGGGTCCAGGATTTCTTTCTTATGTTCTGTTCTGTCCCTTTCGTCGAGTCTTTTTACACCTTTCTTGTTTGGTTCGTTTGATTGAAACCAATAAAAAGAGTCTCCTAGAATTAGTGGAGAAACCAATAAAAAGCTTAAGGCTTGTAATTGATGTTTGCGGCCCAGTTTGTTTCTTCTTAAATTTGAGCTTGAGTCAATGGACTCGTTAATAAACCAGGCCCACTGAATGTGTAAGTGGATGCTCATTAGAGAAGACGATCAGTTCTCTTTTCCATCGTCTTCTTCTTTCCTTCAGCTGTTCAGCATATATGATTTCCTTCTTCTCGTTCTTCGTTACCTTTGAAATCCTAAATTAGCTCGGGAAAGACTTCACATTATGGACTACCATGGTTGTCACGCTGGCCGGCGTGCCACCGGTTGTACCAGGTTCAACCGGTACCGGTCATAAAACCGGCGTGACACCACCGGTATGACCGGCATGATCGATATACGAATTTCTAAGTAAAATAACCTTATTTTAGAGAATTTAATTGATAAAAATTGTTTTATTATTTATTTTATGAGTATAAAAGTTAAATATTGATGTTATTTGTTGGATTCAAGTATAAATGTTTAGGTATTGACGTTAGATGTCATGTTTAAATATGAGTATTTATAATTTTATTTGTAATATTGACCGGCATGAACCGGCACAAACCGGTATGTGCCACTGGTTGAACCATTCCACTTGCTAAACCGGCACACTGGTATAAACCGGTTTGACAACCTTGTGGACTACCGTTGCAGCCTTCTTCGTGAAGGTGTACCAATCGAGGGCGTTTTGGCGTGGGCCTCTGAGCTTGTTTCATAAGCCCATTTGCCACTATCTGGATAATAATAAAAACAACAATAATCAAAGGGTTGATACCAATGTTGTCAGAACCGAACCGGAGCATAACCCGATAACGTGAATGACTCGAATTTGATTTTGCAATGCACTTATTGATAGAATACATCAATTGTACGAATTACAACCTCCAAACATGCCTTTAATTCTTTGCTTCTTGGGATTTGATTTTGCTTTCTGATGTTTGATCTTAGCAACCAAATTATTTTGGGGTTTTGATCATTTTTCATTTGATTAATTTGTATTTGTTTCGTTTTGATTCAATGAGAAGAATTCTCAATGTTTGGTTACTCTATTTAGATTTGATTTGTCGCGATTGGGGAAGGGGTTAAAGACTTACCGACTATTATAATTCCTGAATTTGTACAAAATTTACATGTAATTTTATCTATATTTTAAAAGGCTACAACTCTTCTTAACTTCAACCTAACTTCATGTAACAATAGTATAATCATTTCAATGAGAAGAATTCTCAATGCTTGGCCACTTTTCTTCATTCTAGAAATTTTCATTTTGTATGTCTACGTCACTACAAGGAACTTGACATACGACAGCGCTTTAAAGCCAGCGGTTCTCATAACCCCTGGCGCATTTATGCGGATTTAAGTATAGCAGGGATCCCATCCAGCGGTTTTGGAAACTGCTTTAAGATTACAGGTTCCCAGTAAAAAAAAAACTGCTTTTGGATTCACACGCATAAAATCCCAACAATTATTAAAACAAAAAAATCCCACTCGTGCCATTCTCTACTCTGTTCTCCCAAAAACAAATTCCTAACCCTAGATCCGGACACCGCCGATTTCTAATCCAGTGGACGAATTCACAGCGTTCTTTCCTAATCCGCTGGCGACCACCGTCGAGAGCTGTTCTTCTCCATCGATTTCTCATCGGCAGCGACGAAACCCCTAGCCTCAGCTGGAGCAGCTTGATAGTCTCGTGACTACTCTGCCAATGATTCAAGATATGCACACCTTGTTGTTCGGGAAGGTAGCTGATTCTGAGTTCTTGTGCGAAATCGCGCAATAGATATGTGCGTCAAACTTATTCATCTATTTGTCTCCCTGATTTATTCGTTTTTCACCTCTCTAATTTCTCATCCTGTTCATCTTCTCGCGATTGTTTGCTTGAAGGTTTCCAATTGGGGGAGTCAACTTAATCCAACGTGCGGGCGCACTGTTTACCGAATACATATGGTATCGGCAGAGGAGTCCTCCAGCGTTTGCAGCCTTTGTTTGCAGTTGTTCGACCCGAATATCACAGGCACAGGGTCCTGTCAAAGTCCTGACTCCTGACCAAGGCCAGGAGAAGTAATTAGTTGATTTTGAGTTCAGCCAGAAATCTTAGTTATTCTTAGTGTGGGACTATAAGGATACGAGTAATTAGTGGCCGAAATGAATCAGTAGGTGAGAGTCAAGATTCCAACTTTAGAACTATCCAATTGTTACAGTATACGAGCTATTAAAAAATTATCATCTTCTTCATTTAGTTTGATCATTTTGGTATGATGATCAATTGTGTTAAGATTACTAGGAGATGCAGATTGCAGAAGCCCTGAAAGTAATCTCTCTAATTTGGCTTTATAGTTAGTTTGCCAATTGCTAGGATTTTTTATAAAAGATTCAAGTAATTTAGAGGTCGTGTTGTAGTGTGGTTAATTAGGATGTAGTTCATTTTCTTCTAGATGATCTCATAGTCAGAAATGTTTGCATGCTCTTATTCTATTTCAGGTTTTCAAAAATTGGCTGCAGAAATCGTTCATGAACAAAGAATCCTTTGTGCAAGTCCAGCTACAACATTTGAAGGAGAAAATTATTAAGGGTAGTTTTCAATGCCAAGTCTTTGTGTTTACCCACTGACTATTAAGTGAAATTCCAATTCAGTGGCCAGCGAGTTTGGATTTTGGATTGTTTGCTTTAGTTTGTTGCAGGGTCTGTTTCGAAGGAGGCAAATGATTATTTGGATTTTTTTCCCTGCCCTTTTCATCTCAACCTGGATTTTCATTCTCATCGGTTATGTTGAGCCCCTCTCTACCTTTTCAATGACTATTTTATGCTTACAGGACCCTATTTGGTTCGGTGCATGAGGTCCAATTCCACAGCTAACTAGGTTAAAACAAGCCATTCCACGACTCTTGGTCCTCTGTCAATAGTGCATTGTTGTTTTTCTTTCTGATTCCTTATATTCAGTTCCAAATGGCCTAACTTGCCTATAACAATTTCGTCAGCTATGCATAAATAGCAAAACCCTTTGAATGACTATTGTTTTTTTCATCTTATTAAAGCTCACAGGTTCTTCATCACATGGAAGACTTCTTCTACTCCAATTGGGTGAGCCATACTATCACTATTTGTATGCATCATGGCTAGACTCTAAACTTCTGTTTTTCTTGAAACCGTAGTTTGCTTTCACAGTATCTTGATTTCAGACTATACTATTATTATTGTGATACTCAATCTCACAATATAGTTTAGTAAAAATAACCTTCTTTGTAGGACCAGCAGTGGTATTAAACCTATGCTGCAATTTTCCCCTTTCCATGCTATCTAACCCAATATATCATGCACTTCCATCTGCTGTACCTAAATTGACTGTTGTTCCTAAATTGCAGTTCTCTTGATCAAAGACTGTCATCATTGAAAGGTATTATATACAACATCCTTTTGTTGACCAATGCAAATTACAGGTCAAGTTTCTTTAACTTAGCAAAGAAGTACCCATATTTACTCTGCTATTTGTTTCGCTTATATAAATGACCAGCCATATTGTGTGAGATGTGGTTGGAGGAATGAAGATGAAGAGTTGCAAGATGTAGACTTTGATTTTGCCCCATGCCAGGTACATCTTTCCTATTCTTCACGTATGCAAGCAAGGTTGGACTTTGGTATTTTTCTGTTTCATTGTTTCCATCTTCTCTGGGTAAATGACGTGGTCCTCGATTCCATTGTAAAAAATAAAAGAGCATGAAACTCAGCCAAATGGAAACATATATCATTCTAGAGAATAAACAATGGTCTGCCCAAAACTCTATTTGGTGAAGTAGAGCTGCTGACCAACCATATGGGAATTGGAACATAGGACCTCTAGTTGTACTCAAGTACTGAAATTGAGGTATACATTCTCATACTTGGTTTAGAGAAAGAAAGCTTTGCATTTTTTTCTTGTTTCTATTATTTTGAATATATGATCTCAAAGTACCTTCTTTTGATTCCTCCAGGATATAATGGGGAAATTCCATGAGCTATATATGCCTCTGCTTGCCTTGTTGTTATGAACTCTTACTGTTTCCTGGTTTCAAATCTCTCAGGTCTTAACCCTCAGAGCCTCCAATTTGATAGCTGAAGATCTAACTCTAACAGGTCTTGCTCCAGCCTCAGTCACGGCTCCTCCTTCAATTGGGTCCTTGCTTTTACCATCACCTCCAGCAATGGCGGCAACAATTGGTTTTGTGAGAAAGGTCAAAATGAATCCCTGAAAACTCGGTATTCTTTCACATTGTTTTTTCATTTATAAAATTCTGATTAGGGTCAAATATGTAATCAGGTGCATCTCTGCAAACTCAACAGGGATTTAGTTTCCGCACTTCCCGCTTATTTAGTTTCCTCCTCTGTTTTTTGTGAAGGAGACTAAGAAATTCACATGGAGGATCTCACAATTTTTAATCAAAAGGGCACTTAACTATTGCTCTTATTTAGTTTCCTTGCTTCTTAACTATTGCGCTTTGTGCAGGAGGATCATTTTTAATCAAAAGGGCACTTTAGATGTCAAGTATCTATTTGTGGGTTTGGAATTTTCTGATTTGAAAATTATGCCCAACGGATGGAATGTGCCAGCTGACTTTACCATAACTCTTGTCGACCAGTTTGATGGTTCCAATATGTGAAACTATGTAAGGTTTGTTTCTGAATTCCTGTAAATCTCTATACATTGCTGTAATGGAATGCCTTTCTCGTAGTGATGAATTGTCCCAAGTACTTGCACTTGATGATGTATAATTTTGATGTTAGATAAACTCCATTTGCTAATAACTGATAAAGAAAGCCAAATCCAAGATTTGTATGTCACTGTTTATTTCACATCTGGTTCTTTGTTTCCAGGGATTTTGCTGCCTTGAATCTTTTTTCTTGTTCTGTGTACATTATCTTCTCCAAGCTATTTTGTAAGACGACTTTTTTTTATGCCTTTGTAACAGGTGAATATGGGTTTGAAAAGAAAGCATTCATGATGTGGACGATTCAGAAGCCAACAAAGATTTTGAATTGTTGGTTTTTGAGTTTCTATGTGTTTGATTTCCTTTTGATAATGTGTGGGACGAGGGATGTGTAAGCTCATGGGAGATTTGAAATTAAGTAGCAGGAACAAGGGTAATACAATTTTAAGGGAAACAGTGGAACTCAAATTTTGTGAATTTTAGTGACGCTTTTAAATGATCATTGCTAAAGCTTCGTTGAATATGAATCTCCAGGGGTTCGGGGGTGCTATTAAATGTTTAATAATGATAACAGCAGGGGTTCTAAAACCGTCGGCATAACACCTTAAACTGCTGCAAAATTCCTCTATCTAACTACCGCAAAAGAAGAATTGGCGACAAGCTTAGCCGCTGCAAAAAACCGCAGCTAGGGCATTCACCAACGGTTGGGCCTTACGCTGCCATTAGTTTGAGGGGGTTTTGCTAGCGGCGGTTACGCAAGGGTCGCAAGAACCGCTGTCGGGTTAGTTAGCGACGGTTTTTTTTGTCGCTAAATGTTGGAAAACCCCCTGCTGTATGTAGTTTGTTTTGTAGTGCGTGAATGGTTTATGTCATAACTTGTTTCTTTAATCTCCAAGGAATCGCTCTTCCACCCCAAGGAACATAGCTACATCGAGTAACTTTTGTAATTAGCACAATAATTTGACTAAGTACCTTGTATCTTTTTACACCAAGTGGCACAACGATCATAAACTCAATTTAGCTGTTTTGATTTAACAAGCAAAAAATAATTTTTTCTAATAAAATTTCATCAATTCATTTAAATATTTCGTTGAAATAAAATAATTTACAAAATAATTCGAGTAAGACACTTTCATAAGATTTGCTTAGTTTCTTAATTATTATGGAAGGCTTACGTAATACATTTGTTATATTGATACATAATAATTGTCACAGCACTGTGTTACGTAATCTTGCACAATGTGTAGTATACTAATAAAATCAAGTTACATATAAGTCTCACATTCGATTATACTAATATGTAAGATTAACTTATCTTCAGCAAGTTCTAATTTGTGTCATGCAAATTGGTGAGATGTTCAATATATATGGTAGGTAGTAAAAAATAAATTTTAGTTAATAAAAAATGAATTATTTTAGAAAAATAATCACATTTGATTAAATTGTTATGAAAAAATACTCCCAAGCCGAAATATCACAAGTACCACCTCGTCCCGGACCGACTTTACAAAACTTTTGTTCAATGAAAATTGATGAGCTCATCAACAGGTTAGTTAATAATTTAGTAATTTTCCTTCAAACTTTTATCATTGCAGGCTTAAGTAATATGTTTATTTAATTGATATATAAGAAATTATTATTCCACTATAAATTTTATGTATTGTCTCAGTCATCATGGAAGACTTGGGTTATACTTTTTAGAATGTGAAATGAAAAAGTATTCATATAGCTAACTAGGGGGAATCTTATGGTGAAGTTGGATCTAGGAGGGGTAAAACCAACAATTAAATATAAATAACTGAATGTGAGAAAAAAGAGGTTATGATAAAACTGGTATATAGTATAATAAATTCGGTGAACAGTGCCCAATACAAAATGAAAACAAATTTAATACAACTCCTATTTTCCATACAAATTTAACACACATACTATGTAAAAAATCAGTTAGTTCCAATAATTTGAATTGTTGGGAGATGTTCGATAACGAATATCACATCCACTAATATTAACAACACACATATTTTTTTGTAAGGGTGATATAGGTTTTATTATTTTTGTGATTAAGATACTAGTTAAGGGGTTCAAACCTGAGACCTCAAGGTTCTAGATTAATGGTATTATGACTAGACCAAGCCCTTATTCGTAACTAACACATATATTTGTTAACACGTATATTTCTGAAGCCGAGGGAAAGAAGTACACTATGATTATAGAACAAAGGAAGAGTGCATGCGGCGAGTTGAATAACCAAACGTGTCACTCACTATATTATATGCTTACATGCATTGTCGTCGGTCAGTGGCTACTACTCGAAACCTACTTACAAGAAGCTAAACATTCCAAAACCGGAAGAAGCTTTTCCGGTCGCCGTTGAAGGGAAGGGATCGTCATCTGCAAATCAGCCTCCGGATATGCTCCCATTAAAGGTAAACTTATTACACCTAATGCCAACATTTTCTTTCTCCCCCCCGTCTCCCAATCACATTATATGATTTTCTGATCAATGTGATTTGTCATATATATATTTTCACCTTCCATTATATTCATCAGGAGCTGTGGTGAGAATTAAATGTTTGGAAGTGGACAATGAAGGGTATGAGACGGTTTCAGTGTCATGTCAGACCATGCCAGTCCAACTGATGCCAAGGGCTATTTCTTCAAGACTCTGCATTCTAACAACAAGCTGGTCAAGAATTCATGGGAAAATTGCAAGGCTAGCTTTCCTCGAGCAATCTCCACAGGAGGAATGTAGAGTTCCAAGCAATGTGAACAGAGGAATCGATGGTTACAAGCTGTCTTCTCGTCGCATTTTGCAAGACAAGCACCTCAAATTATACCCAGTTGGACCTTTCTTTTATACACCGGAGCACAAACCTATGGTGAACAGAGCACCGGCGGGTGGCTACTAAATTTTCTTCTTTTCATGGCCTCAAATTTTATTTTGGTTTTTCAGTTCAACTATTTGAGTTGTTCATTCACATTACTTTGGAGTTTGAATCATATTTATTACTTTGTTTTTTTTTTTCATTACTTGGTATCTCATGGTGGGTTTCCCATGTTTGTTAACTCCATCGAGTGTAAGAGACTAAGAGCTGTAGTTCTTTTTTAATGAGAAGAATTTTCAATGCTTGCTACTCTTTCTTCATTTTTAATTTTTTCCAAAGATATTGCCCAAAGAAACAACTAGATACGAATTCAAATTCTTTTAAGCCAATCGTAATAAATAATACAGATAAAACAAATGAACAATGATCGACAAATAGTCAAACCAGTCTTTTCTGCTACGATACAGACATGTCTTTGGTACCTACAAGTATCGACAATAGCCATGACTTCTTCGTACGTTCTTAATTTTTCATTTTGAAGAGATTTGGGTGGCTCTATGTCGACACAATTAACAATGGGAGCCTACAGTTGGGCCTGGTCAGAGATTGGGCCAGATTTCCCTTTTTCTCTAAAGGAATTAATTTCTAACTAAACTGGCCCACTTCCTTTCCAGTTGAGCGGATCTCCAGAAATGGGGCTTTGGACCACTGACGGATATTATGTTTCTGTGTGTGTGGTGAGTCTCTAACGTACTACGGGCCGACAACGGATATTCGTCTCCAAATGTGCGGCGGTTTCTCCCTCCCGCTAACCTGGCAGGGGGGAAATAAAATACTAAGTAACCGAAAGTACCCTTCCTCCAACTCACAGTGGCTTTCCTTCAAAGAGCCACTGAATCGTAATATTAAAACTCAAACGAAAGTAATATGGTCAAACGATCTTCTATAAGGAAAAAAATGAAATTTTTACATTTTTATCTACAAATATATTATAGCAGAGTTGAGAGCATTTTTTACGCATTTCAAATTTCCTGCAATGAGGGCGAAAGTATGAAGGATAATTGTGTCTTCACAATCATTATTTATTTTTAATGTGTAGATGTGATTTAAAATTCTTAACTTGGTATTAATTTTTAGAACTATAAAAGCACTGATATTATTATGCAAACGGTAAGTGAGCAATTTTTTGAAAGTTTTAGTTTGGTTATACGTTAAATCCTAAATCTCTTGATAATATAACATAGTTTGAAAAATGAGTGAATTTAAAAGAACAAAATTTTTTAATACCAGTTTTTCTAGATGATTTCAATTATTTAATTCTTTTATCTTATAGGATAATTGATCATATGTATCATTCATAGTTACTTAGTTTAATATGAAATAACCGCAGTACATGACAAATTATGAAAGTCGAGTTGAAGTTTTCACGGACGCATTGATGTGGTCATGTACATTAACAAGGTAGGTATTATGTACCACAAGATAGGTTAAATTTTTGGGTATGCCTACTATGACATGCATGTCACGGTGACATGCACTTTTCGGATGACCTATTCGTCAAGGCGGTCGACCGAATTGACTAATTTGGGCAGCACGAGAAAGCATCGAGGTCGACCGCCACGACCACCTGGTCGACCGCACTTAGTTTAAGTTGTTATTTTTGGTCGACCAGAATAAAACCTCGGTCGGCCATTTCGTTGGCGTCAGATACAACATGGTCGACCACCTAATATATCTGGTCGACCACTTGATGGCAGTCATTAACAAAATGGTCGACCGGATAAGGAAAGAGGTCGACCAGATAGAAGATAAGTGTTCTATCAAAGTGTCCAATCATTTGACGTAAAATGAAGATCAAGTGTTGGTTTCTCGGTCGACCTAATCCGGTACGAGGTCGACCGAATACAAGAAAGTCAACCTATGCCCCGTGTCTTTTTTGCTTATGCATGTAGATTTGTGTGGCTCTTTTAATCGTATAAATTAAGTTTCAAACCATCATATTTAGTAATTAATAATTATAACAAGGACTCATCAATTCATAGCATAACAACTAAAAATAAAACAGAAATCATAATTGTTCATACATAAAAATAAAACTAAAAAAACAACAGAATAACAATCAACAATCGTTTTGAAAACTAAAACACACAATATAAAATCTCCTCTCTCCTACTCATCTCCCCCCTCTCCCTCATCCACATTTTCTTCATTTTCTTCATTGGTGGTGGTAGCATGATGGTGGTCGGATGTGGTGGGATGCATGTATCTTCCGCTGAAAGATCGCCACTCATCTCGCATCTCATTCACGGTCACCTGCATTGTGCTCATCTGGGCGGTCATTTGCCCCATGTAGTCGTACATGCCAGTCATCTGGGTGGACATCTGGCCCATGTACTCGTACATGCCATCCATGCGCTCCCACACACGCTGTAAGGTGATCGGTGGAGTTGAAGTCTGTGCCTCCCCCATTGGCTCGTCTCGAGCTCCTTCATCACCATCATCATCCTCATCATCACCACCATGAGCATTGTTTGCTCTGACATACTCACCATTCCGCAGCTCAAAGCCCATCTTTTTCAGAGATGAAACAGTATAGAACTCCTGCCTTGAGATTCTTAACCCCACCTCTTCACTTAAATTCACATTAAAATGCTCAAATATCACAGTGAGGATCATCCCATAGGGAAGATTCCTGTTTGAACTCTCTGCAGCAGTAAGCATGTGGTTAAAGATCAAGTATGACAAGTTCATCTTCTCGTTTAACAGTAGGTTGGTGAGGAGCTCCATGTCGAAGTAGGTGACTGTCTCCCGATGTCCACCCTTTGGCAGAATGTTGTAGGAAAGCATGTGGTGAAGAACTCTGGCTTGAACAGTCAGGTGGTTACTCGATGGCCTATTGCGCCCCTGAGCATCTTCCTCTTCATCGAGACCACATACCGTCTGGATTTGCTTGGCTCTCGTGAAATGCGTTTCATTCCAAGCACCGTAAGAATTGATTCTCCTCCCCTCGTTTGGAGCCTCCAGTACTTGCGCCAACACATTCTTGCTGATGCGCATCGCAACCCCATTCACATAGGATTTGAATGCGTGAATGAATCCATTTGCATTACGCTCGTAGACGATGTTGTTGTAGAAGTATTGTACCAGTTTTGGGTAGTATGGTACATTGAGTGATATCACCTTCAACCACTCCTGCTCGATGAATGGTCCCAGAAACCCGTAATTCTCGAAATGAGAATACGCATCCGTCGTCAATGGCCTTCCCGGAGCCACCCTGCGGTTGTGCATACTCTTCTCTTCATAGTTCTCACTTTGCTCCTTGGTCTGGAACAGATTCGGATTGAACTCTTCCCATTCCGAACTTGAGGCAGCAGCTTTTTGTGCCTTTCTTTTCTTTCTGCCGCCAAACATCCTGCGATCAAACAAGCAAGAATACACGTTAGTCACATTTTCGAAATGAACAATACGCGGTCGACCACTCCATAAAGCGGTCGACCTCAGTTAATTTAAAACGACAATGGGTCGACCTCAGAAGAATCATAGGTCGACCTCAGTTAGTTTAAAACGAGAATAGGTCGACCTCAGAAGAAGCATAGGTCGACCTCAGCTAATTTAAAACGAGAATGGGTCGATATAAACCCGTAACAATTCAAGTACAAAATTGCTTTCATAGGCCGACCTCAGAAGAAGCATAGGTCGACCTCGTAAAATTTAAATCGATTGAAAACCATATGTGACTTTCATGAGGAGTGCAAAATAGCACATTAGACCACCTTGGAATGCACTCGAAGACACAAACGTCTGCTGCCTTCACCGAGTTATCCTTTGCAACCCTATGCCGGTCACTGACAAGCAAAGGAGAACTCGGTGAAAGCTGCAGACGTTTGTGTCTTCGAGTGCATTACAAGGTGGCCTAATGTCCTGCACTGCACTCCCCATGAACATCTGGCTTTCAATCGATTTAAATGGCCCGAGGTCGACCTCAATATCATCACAGGTCGACCTCAACAAGTTTAGCACAAATAACTCGAACTTTTGTCTTCATAGGTCGACCTCAGAACCATCATGGGTCGACCTCGGCTAAATTGAAACGAGTCCGAAATGGCCCAAATGATCGTACCAATTGAGTGCAAAACAGATCCGGTCGACCTCATAATTAGAAGAGGTCGACCAGTGTTAGTTTCGCACAAATTCAAAGACAATGGCACAAATAACTCGAACTTTTGCCTTCATAGGTCGACCTCAGAACCATCATAGGTCGACCTCGGCTAAATTGAAACGAGTCCGAATTAGCCCAAATGCTCGTAGCAATTGAGTGCAAAACAGATCCGGTCGACCTCATAATTAGAAGAGGTCGACCAGTGTTAGTTTCACACAAATAAAACATAAATAAAATCGCTTGAAAGCCAGATGCGGTCGACCACGAATATGAAAAGGTCGACCTCATCTGGCAAACAGAAGGACAAAATCCTTCTTTTCAAGCTATAGATGTAAATAATATCGTAGAAAAACATCACAGGTCGACCTCAATATCATCATAGGTCGACCTCAGTCTATAAAACAAAAGGAAAAGTCGATTGAAAGCCAGATGCGGTCGACCACGAATATGAAAAGGTCGACCTCATCTGGCAAACAGAAGGACAAAATCCCTCTTTTCAAGCTATAGATGTAAATAATATCGTAGCAAAACTTCACAGGTCGACCTCAATATCATCATAGGTAGACCTCAGTCTATACAACAAAAGGAAAAATCGATTGAAAGCCAGATGCGGTCGACCATGCATATGAGAAGGTCGACCGCATCTGGCGTACAGAAGGGAAAATCCCTCTTTTCAAGCTACATATCTAAATAATAAGGCCAGAAATCGTAGAAAAACATCACAGGTCGACCTCAATATCATCATAGGTCGACCTCAGTCCATAAAACAGAAATACAATAGATTAAAAGCCAGTTGCGGTCGACCACGATGATGAACAGGTCGACCGCTTCTGACGAACAGAAGGAAAAATCCCTCTTTTCCATCTTTAGATTTTTTGAAAACAAAAAGAAGAAGACAAGAATCAACTCAAATGAAAAAGAGGAC